ATAGAAGTATCGACGAGCACCATTTCTCGATAGACCAAGATATAGGTCAATTCGCCACATGAACTGGCAAATGGATCCGGAAAGGTAATGAACTGATCGAATCAGATGAAGGTCTAATAGTAATTAAGTAAGGTTCTTAGTAGAATACGAGATCACTAATTATTGGACAATCTTCAAATTGGCAAAAGAAATGATTTGAAATTAATCTCTACTTAGGGGGGCAATTAGGCTTCTTTGGAACATCTCCACATTCATTTCTTCCCCCACACTTACTCGCGCAGTAATCCACACAGCAATTCACGCGCGGGTTGACTTCACTCAAATTGCAAACGCATAAATAGCCGTTGACGCACAGCAGATAGCACGCTTCTCGTTCCACCTTCTCGTGACCAACACGCGCCGCCACCCCGCCGCCACTCTTCGGCGGTGGTGCTGCTGCGGCGGCGGTGCATACGGCCACCAGCATCAGCACGCTCAAAGCTGTCACTGTCATCTTCATCATAGACCTCATTTTTCTCTATTCATTAATCTCTCACATATATACATATATATAGAGATATATATATATATATATATATATATTATATATACTAACATAATCTGCAAAGATGGAAAATATTTATCTAATTAGATTATATTAGCATATAATCAGCAATCTGAATTAAGTCTTCTTTCCATAAACACATTTAAAAAATCACACACATTTTATTTTAATAATATGCCACCACGGAGTCATGGCCCCCAACTTTTTTATTTTATTATATTTTTATTTTTTATTCTATATAAAAATTTGTTATTTTTCGAGTATTATATTATATTATTATCAGCCTATTTAATTAGAAAACTTTTTTAGTATATATTTAACAATCACAAAAATAAAATTATGGCTCTACTAATCAAACATCAAATTGAGTCTAATATTCATTTAATTAATCATGACTGATCTTACCGACAAAACAAGACTTTGTAATTGTGCATACATACATACATACATACATACATGCATAATTCTTTTTCAAGGTCTTCAAATTAGTGAAAAATGATTTGAAACATATTCGGTTACGCAATATCGTGTACAGCAACCGCAGCGCGCATCGGATCATTCGCATAATTGCATACGCATAAATCGTCGCTCATGCACTGCACGTAACATTAATTCGTCTCTTCCGCCTTTCTCGTCAGTAAGACCCGCCCGCCGCCTCTTTGCAGCCTATCTTCGGTGGTGATGTTGCGGTGGCTACAACCACCACCACCACCACCTCACTCAACGCTGTCACTGTCATTAACGCCTAATTATTTTAGTTAATTGTAATTAATCGTACCAATCATATTAAATAAGGTTTAAGTCATCATTCATGGGTTACAAATTAATTATTTCCCATATTATTTATTTTTTTATTTCAAATTATTTATCACTTTAAAATTCCAATAAATCATTTAATTTCAAGATAAATAAGTAAATAACAAACAGAGACGAAGCGTAGAACGATCTTCAACGGAAGCTATTTATTTCATTGTCTTTTTCAATTGACAATCTATATCGAACAAAGGCGCACTACGAGATCGATTATTCAATTTCAAATAATCAAGTTTCGATTAATTAATTAAGCAGTGCAAGGCTTCCAAGGAAGATCTCCGCATTCATTTTGTTCGCCGCATTTAGTCCAACAATATCCTACACAACAATCGACTTTCGGATTACGGTCACTCATAGTACATACACATGAGAAATAGTCACGGAGGCACAGCAGAAAGCATGCGTTTCTTTGGTCATTGTTCGGTACAACACCCACAGGCGCCCCTCCACCGCCACTCTCCGGTGGTGGCTACCGTGGCGGTGGCGGATACAGCCACCACCACCACCATGCTCAAGGCTGCTGTCAATGTCTTCACAGTGCTGTTGTACCTCATCATTATCAACTCACGCTCACACACATATATTGTCAAAGTAATTAAGAAAAAACACAATTCATTTTATTATTTTTAATAATATAGTTAGTTGGCCGATAATTATCGACCATATTTTTAGCTAAATAATAACTTTTTAACCGATCCATTGGAATATTGGGTCAAAAATTTCAACCAACCCATCTATAATGGGTTGGAGGTTTCTAATATTATCAAAAGTTGGTTGATCGATAATTATCGGTCAACCAACTATATTATTAAAAAAATATAAAATAAATTATGTGTTTTCTTAATTACTTTGAATTTCTTTATATTTTTTGTCAAATAATTGCTATTAATAATTTTGAACTCATAAATGATGCTCACACAGTGGCACTACGCATAATGTGCATATTTTGAACTTCAAATTTTGAAAAAAATAAAAAATTAAGTGAACTAGGTGAAAGATATAACTCATCAACCAAACCATTCCGCAACAAATCTATTTCGAAATGAAATATTTGGTTGTC